GCTGCTTGTGCTACACACACGCAGGAGAGAGAAATGCTGGTGCATTATGCTGAGACAAATCCAGGGTCACATCTCTTAAACTCAGCAGAATTTCCTCCAGGTTTATCTCAGCAATGGAGATCAGCTTCTCACTGCAGTGATCCAACACCCTGCTCAGCTCCCACAGATTGAAGGAAACTCAGGAAACAAATCCGTCTCTCAACAAGCCGAGCAGCCCAAGAGAAAATTTTTACCAAAAAATACCAACCATCCTTTACTGAAAAAGTTATTCCCTTCTTGGTCTGACTGCAGCATCCTGGATAATGTCTTCTACCATGGCAGGGCTGAAGCAGAGTGAATTCCAGAAGACTACCGCAGGTCTGTGATACTCAGAAGACCTTTACCAAAATATGCAAAGATAATTGCAAATAAGCAGGACTTGTGTTCTGGACAATACAGGATGTATATACGCTTCTCCCTGATCTATGCAGATGAATGTACTTACTTTTTATTTAACAGACCAGGTGAATTTATCATTCAGGTCAACAGTCAGGTATTCCTTCTGGTGCTTTGCAATCATAAGCAAAGTGGGACAGGTTCTCTGCCAGCAGTACCCAACCTCTTCCCATTCAGCAGTTGCTCCAAAAGCATTTCTCAAAGCAGTGCTGTAGTTAAATGCTGGGGCTATACACAGGCAGATGGGCCAGCTGGCCCAAATATCATACCAAGATATTGCCCTCTTCTCCTTCCTGAAGGGTATTATCTTTCCTGTCCCCTACCCTGCTGCCAGTTTTTGTGAACATGATTGTCTCATGTTAACAAACATGAAGTTGCCCAGTGGGTTCAGAAATTACTAGAGAAGACAGAGACAGAAAGATTGTGTGAATGCAGAATAAATTTTAAAAATCTACAGAGTATTTCTTTCAATTGAGCCTTGCATGTGACCTGTGTACAAGCCCACATATTTCATAAAAGATATTTCAATATTTTTTATTTCGAATTGTTGCATTTTCTTTTGAACTGAACAATTGAATTATGTTCAGCTAAGTGTGGGTTGTTACACCAAACAACTGCAGTGACGCTTCCTCCATTGCCTCCATAACAGTATCTTAAAGCTTCAACCTCTTTACCAAATAATAAACCTTAGCACATTAATTAGCAGTCCTCGGCAATCTGAGACAACCATTTCAAGACTGCCTCAGTGGGGTTTCAGTATCTTTTGTGGTCTGCTCAAAGCTTTGTATTTATACCGTCCACCTCAACTCACCAGCAAAACTGCATGCGGATGATACATATGTAATAAGCAGCAGTAATTGGATTAATAACCCATTAGCACAAATTTAAAATCCCAATGGTTATTACTGGGTGTAAAGGGAGAGGTTGCCATTCTTCATATTAGTACATGAATCAAACACTGGCACCAAGAAACAGGAAAATTATTCCTACAGATGAGTGATTTTGTGTTCTCGTTTCTGCAGGCAGCACTCACCAGCAGGGAAACTAATTATTAGCTCTACTTTGAAGCATGCCTGTGCCATGTATTAACGCTGGAGTAAGCAGTGCAGGCAGGTGCTACAGCTGGTTTAAAAACAGGTTCCACACTGTCAGACACTGGTGACCAAAGAAGTCAGGTTGGTCTAAGCTGTTTGAATGCCTGCACGGGCATTTTAGGTCCCCATATAAAAATGAAGACTTACTTGGTTTTTCCCACCCCACTTTCAACTATGGTTTTGCTCTTAAACCAGAGAAGCCATAGCTTCTTCCTTTTCACCCTTTCTGCTTAGAAGTTGCTTAGCAAAATCCCACAGACTATTTCAAGAATTCAAGAGCACACTGCTTTTTCTGGAGTCCTCCTTTATATTTCAAGCACTTCCTATTTCAAAGGTATTTTTTATATAACCTGCCCATACTCCCATGCAGACCTGCCTACAAAAAAAAAGGGGTCCCAGCTCTACCACCTACCCGAGACGCCAGTGGCTCCCGCAGACCCCATCTGACTCCTCACTTATCTCTGCTGGGCACTGGGGAAAAGTCATTTACCACATTGCGGGCCATGACTGAACAGCGATACTTGAAGCCTCTCCATATGGGAGCCGTGAGCCCCTGCAGCATGCCCAGTTGCTTTTGAGATGGATGAGCACTGGTAGCCCTCGACATTCGTCAAGGGAGCAAAAAGTCACAGGGATTCGGCTAAGTCAACAGTAACGGCAGCTGGCCTGGTGCCTTTCGCAGACACCTTTGAAACTGCTCAGGAAGTTCTCCCTCCCCATGCAAGTTTGTCACTCTCATCCCTTGTTACCTGCTGGCTTGCAAAGCTGTGCTTGATGGCGTCGCAGGAACTGCCAGCAAAGCCCCCGCTGAAGCCGCCTTACAGAATTTAGGTCTGGGCTTGGCACAGCGCTGGCGCAATTCGCAAAGAACGGCAATGACCCCTCGTGGCCAGGGAGGAAAATACTGGGACCATCAGTTCACCCCACATCAAAAAAGATCCACAGCCAAACCTTACGAGCTGGTGCTCTTGTTCTCAGGCTTGAAAAGATAAGTGCCAGGTATTCAGGAGCATGGGCACGGGATGGTTCACGTACTCTTCCCCCATTTAACACATCCAAGTGTTAAAATATCAAGAACGCTGCAGCGAGCAGGAGGTATCGGAAAATTCAGAGATGAAGCAGTCCAGATCTTGAGCTTATAGCTTTTCAGGTTCTACACTCATTTATTGAGCATAAATAACAAAAAAAGGTTCACGATGGGGAGAAAGGGCTAGCTTATAGCCTGGAAACAGACCTGTTTTAAAGACTGCTTCGCAGAAGAGAAAAAAAAAAGGAAAAAAAAAAAAGGGAAAAAAAAAAGGTAACTCAGCTGTGCAGCCCACACAGCCTGCTGCAGACACACCAGCACCCTTTTGCTAAGATCTGTGTTGTAAGAACCTGGCACTGCCTCACCTTGCAGGTCTGACAGCTCACGCTTGGTACCCAAGAGCATGATCCAACTCTAAATGAACCACCTCCAGAGCACACTGCCTCAGCACGTTTCCACATTACCCACAGCACTTTCAAAGAGCCTCATAACCCCCCCAACCCCTTTCTGACCTGTTAGATGCCTGCAGAGAGGTTGCTTGCAGACAAAGCATTTTGCATTTCTGTACCAGTTCAGCAGAACCATTTCCAGTTACCAAATCTCTCTGGGCGGTAGTGAAGTACAGTCTCTTCACCCCTTTGCCCTTTAACTGACACAGAGCTGTTTAAGTGGCAGAGATGCAAAGAGTCTACTGGATTAAATACAGACCTCTCCATCAGCCTTCAGAAATGCTTTAAAAAAAGGGGAACATCAGATACTTTTATCTCATTGCTTGTATATCCCCAATCTGCTTATACCTAGAAGCCTCACAGCAGAAATCCTTCAATCTCCCCATACGGTAATAAGATAAACAGCTGCTGAACTACAGCAATTGGGTAGGGAAGAGAGGTACTTTTCTAATTAAAAGATGAAGAGGCTGCTAAAGCTTTTAGCCTTTTTGCACTGTTCCTGTCCACACAGATGTGGATAATGCTACTACCAGCCTCATGCACGGACCTGAAAGTGTTCACTATCAAGCTTTAGTTTTCAGATTTCCCAAGTCATCTCGAGGATGCGATTTTTGGAACGCTTACTAGGGAATCTTCATAAAACTCAAAAGTAACAATTCCTGGGTCTTGTGTGGAGCATTCCACCGACACCCCCAAGAAGTTAAGTACTATTTTACAAAGGCAGCATGGGCAGAAGTTTGAGTTGTGCAGCAGTAGAACGGATTACCCATGTCCTTGCTTGTCCTTTGCCACTGAGCTCCATAATGCTTTAGTATTTAGGTAGCAGCACTGGTGGCAGACATCCAGCCTTTGCTATTTGGCAGGGCAATGAGGCAGAGCTGCTGGGGAAGGTAAATACTACAAACACGATCCAAAGCTGCCACCTAGAGCTTACTCTGGACCACAGGCAGAGCAGTCTGAACCAGATGGGAAGCAACAACGGGTACTTCTAGTTCACAGGAAAAGACTGAGAAAAGAATTTTTCCCTTTGCCTGGAGCAAGCATGAGAATTTGCAACATTAGAATCAGATTCAGGGACAATGAGGGCAGATGTTTTGCTTTTTCACCCTTTTTAAGAATTACAGCACTGTGGTGCAAGCAGCTCTATACAATACAAATACAATATATACACACACACACACAATACATATATAATACAAACAGCTCTAATATAGCACCAGAGATCTGAGAGGACATTCTAAGGGAAGTATCACATCCATTCTGTACAGAGAAGGCAAGTGACTGACTGCCAACCTCTGGCTCAGCATACCCATCTCTAACCACTGGCCTGAGGATCTTCACCAGTGTCATACTGGGCTCCCTGTCATCCCCCCAGACACAGCTGCTGCATGACTCACCTATCCATGGGATCCTGCAGGGAAGCAGTATTGAGAGAGCCACTGTGAACAATGCCAGGCAATCTACTTACAGAGGAACTCTGCACAGATATGCTGAGAAGGAAGGTCAAGTCGTGCTTGAATGGGATGAGGAGCAACAGTTGAAGATGAGATAATGGGACACTGCAACCATTCTGGGTGTCCTGGCACAAGGACACTCAAGCTTTTCTGGATTCATTCTGGAGAAAGACAAGCTGATGCACATGCTCCTGAATGACTATCTCTTTCAAAAAATTTATTGACATGTAAAATATTTTAATAGAAAACAATACTGGAGCCTCCTCAGAGGAGGAGCTCACCACATCATAAAAAAGAGAACAGCAGGATGCACACAGACTGAGAAGAGACTGCTTGCCCATGGCTCCTGGCTCACATGGACAGCCACAGCATGCCACATCCTATCTCATACTCTTGAGACATATAAACCATGAACAGCCAGACCCAAAATCTGGTTAGCAAGGGTATGGATACTCCTGTCCTCTACCTGTGATCTGCAGTCTTAAAGAGAGAACCAAGAGCTCTCAATCAGAGTACAGAATGGCAGATCTATATCACAGTAAAGGAAAATCAAAACCATTTAGAAAGCCTTTGGGGAGAGAGAAACATCACAAAACACATCCCTTTCTCTCATTCTGCACAAAGTTCAGGGGCACTAGACACAGCAACAAGTGCTATGAGATATGTCTCAGTTGTATCTGCATCTTCATAAAGGTCAGATACTAATTTTTCAGACTGCTGCACTAAAAAGCTATTGTACTTAAGTACTCTTTAGTATTATTATACAAAAAGGTCTCAGGAGGTATCCTAGGAGTTAAAATTAAGAATTTTGGTGGCTTCTGAACTGTGGAATGAATGTTGGGGACTAGAACACTGGAAAAAAAAAAAACTGGTAAACAAAAGCTGCCATGCTGGGACTTCAAACAACTGCTTCTGGCCATGTGCACTATCCCTCCAGATCCAGCAACCTCTGTCGGGTTTCCAGAACGATCTCCTCCATCACCTCTGGTTTGAGAATGTCCTTGATCTGGAATGGAAAGAAGAGTAACATTGGCACCAAAAAGCAATTACTACTATTGCACACTCCATGGGGGTCCCTGACACACAGCAATGAGCCGCAAGTGAGTTTAGAGGGTTGTGGTCAAGCAAGACTATCAAGCAAGACTTGGACACAGAGCATCCAAGGCAAAGTCAACTTTGCCAGATTTAGCAATTTTTACAGAGATCACAAGAAATCAAAGGAGATGCTACTGACAACTCCTAATCTCTCCTGAAGGACACACACTGGTATTTGGGAAGGGGAGAGACGACTTAAGCATAAGTATAGTTCAAAAGAACATCCCACCTAGCTGAGTAGGCTGCCACTGTGAATGAAAGCAGAAGACAATTCAGATCTTATCTGTTTATGAGAAGAGAATTGCCAGTGATTGTGCTGGCAGAAATCACAGAGAAGAGCTGTACAGCAAGAGGTCAAACTGAGGGAGCCTACCAGCAGTGCAGGATGTGGATACAAACAGAAGACTGGTCTCTCTACAATACACACCACTTGCTTTTTCATTTGTTCTTAAAGTACACCATACCCTTACACAGTCCCAAATTTACACTGTTTTCACAGGGATCACAGAGGGTACATAATCCCAGCAAGGGATACACCTCTATCAAAAAATGGAACTATTTCTCTACAGGAATAGTTGGACTTTGCCAGAGGTAGAACCCTGCAAACTATCACTGAAAATGTGCAATTTATGTTATGCAGAAGGCAGGGAAGTTCATATTGTCACTTACTACAGGATGCTTTGGAAAGCCGAAAGGAAGCCCTACCACCTGGCTTACTGACTTCAGCAGCAGCTGATGTGGCCTTTCCATTCTCTCCCCATAGTGTAGAAAAAAGTAAACAACGCTGGTTTCTGTACCTGATGAGGAAGGGATGCTTCATAGCAATACAGGATGCTGGTGTCAAAGAGCATCAACTTCTGAGTAACCAGAGCCACAATGCAGTTCCGGAGCCGTGAGATCACCTCCCGGTCAGACAAGGGAACCGGCTGAGGAAGGACAGAGGAAAAGAGATGAATACACATGGAAATAATGCAAGCCTGCTGTAAAAAAGCTTTGGCATGAACCTAAAACCAAATCTTGAAAGTCTCAGGTTATTCATGTGCCTCTGGCTATGTTAGACTAATAAAGCATTGTTGGTAGGAGACAGTTCATCTTCCCTGAACCCTCACCTCCAAGTTGGTGGTGAAGCCCCCTGCCTCTTCATCTTTCTGCTCTGGAGTTGGGTAGATCCAGATGAAACCGTTGTTGCCAAGGATCACAGATGCACCACAGGGCAAGTCATGGAAGTGAGTCTTCTGGCGTTTCACAAGGGAGGGCGAGACCTGAACAAGCACACCCTGGCCAAGCTGAGAAGGAGACCACGAGACTCAGCATGAGAGACAGGAGCCACCGTAGATAACATCAAGTCACCCATAGGCACTCCACTCCCGGTCTAGGAACCAGTCAATTTTAACACCTTTTCCTGTGAAACAGTGAATATAAAACCTGCCTGCCCCTGGGAGTGCTGTGAGGATTAGCTAATGCCTGAGCAGTCCTTTGAAGAGGAGGAATACTCTGAGTTCTTAGCACATGTGTTAATAATACCTTGATCATAACTACACATCAACCATCCCTGCAGAAAAATGAGAAGTGAGAGGCCCAATTTAGCAGAACACTTTCCCTCTTAATCCAATTGTTGCCCTATACCCTTTGTGCGATGAGCACACTTCACTTTCATCTTTTAAGTGCTAATACCCTCGGTCTGGTAATCCCAAACTGCAGCCTACGCTCCAATGGCCCCTTAGCTTATTTCAACGCACAAAACCAGAGATAAATGCCAGCTGCATAAAGCCTAAAATAGAGCCCTGGAGAGAGAAACAAGTCACAGGGGCAACAGCCTGCAGAAGAGGAGTGATGAAGTTTGAGTCAGGAGATTTTTCTCCCCAGGGTTTAATTCACAAGCGTCTAGCGGGGGAAACAGAACTCGCAGGCTTTAATTGTGGGCAGGGAGAGTAGCAGCTCAAAGGGCAACTCAAGGGCACTCCCTCTGCTTTGGGGAAACTCTGCTTGGTGCTCCCACATAGGAGCCAAGATTCTTCCTAACCTGCAAGGATGGGTTATGACAACATCCTGCTCTACTCCAAAGCTTTTTTTCTTAAAAATCCCTCCAAAAGGCCTTATACAAGTCAACTGGAGCAGAATTAGATCAAGACCAAGTGCTTTTGAACAACTTACCTTCCCATATTTCAGACTCCGGGTGTGCAGTGATACAGCCCCATCAGAAAATACAGACTGGACCTCTGCCTGTCAGTGTACCACTTAAGGAAACAAGGTCCCTAATGCTGCCCAGTGCCAACAGCTGCTGCCTGCCCCCGGCAGAGAGCTCTCACTGCCAACCAGGCTAGCCAAGGTCTGGCTGTTCTCCCCGTGCCCCTTGGCTCTTCTGAATGCAAGCAATAGAAGGATACACTGATGAGGTCCCCTTCCTGCAGATAGTCCCTCATCGCAAGCTCATCTTCCGCTGATCTCCTTCTCTGAAATGCACAATGCAAGAAAAGTTACGTGTCGCTCAGAATGAGAAAACATCAGTTAATACTTACATTGCAGGGAGACCTTAGGATGCCATGCAAAATGCAATCTGGTCACCAAAGGAAAATCAGGCAGACTAGCACACCTTTAGATCACTGAAGTGTTTACGTCCAAGTAACACTGAGAGTTAAAGATATCAGAGCACTACAGACCCACACACAAAGCCCAACACCACCCTTGCGCTAACTGTGGGAAGGGCTCCAGAGCTTCTCAGCTTCCCTATTAGGACAAGCTGAGAGAGTTGGGGTTGTTCAGCCTGGACAGGAGAAGGCTCCAGGGAGACCTTATTGTAGCCTTTCAAAGGGGGCTTATAAGAAAAATGGGGACAGACTTTTTAGCAGGGCCTGTTGCGATAGGACAAGGGATGATGGTTTTGAACTAAAAGAGGGCAGATTTAGACTAGATCTAAGGAAGAAATTTTTCACAATGAGGGCGGTGAAACACTGGCACAGGTTGCCCAGAGTCGGTGGTAGACTCCCCATCCCTGGAAACATCCCTGGATGGGGCTCTGAGCAACCTGGCCTAGCTGAAGATGCCCCTGATCACTGCAGGGCACTGGACTAGATGACTTTTAAAGGTTTCTTCCAACCCAAACCACTCTATGGTTCTATGATTCCCAGTGCCTCCACTTCTGCCATGGAAGGAGAAGAAAACAGGGCTCTGGCACAGCTCTGCATGAACTACACTCACCAGTTCCCCACCAGGTAAATTCATAGATGACAGCAACAAGACCGAATCTAGCCTGGAATTGGTTTCCACTTTCCATCGCTTCTGCTGAA